TAGGGAAAATTATTGTTCCCATATTCCAGATGAGGAAACTGAAACCACAGTAAGTAACCTGCCCAAGGCCATAAAGCTAGCAAAATAGCAAAGGTGTTATTAAAACCTAGACAATAATCTATCTCGACAACCTCTACAATATCCTGCCTCCACCTGCATTGTGCAGAAGTTAACCCAGAAACTTCTGTTGGGGGAGGAGGGAAAAGGGAAGGAGAGATGGCATGTGTGGTGAGAACCAGTGCTTGGTACAGACTACCAGTTGCAATATCCTTGAGAAAAAAACAAGGTGCGTGTTTTGGCAACAAAAAATCCAGAATACAGAAGCATAGAGAGAAAGAGGGAAATGGCATGGATTAAGTCTAGAGAAGTAGTCAAGGACTTAGTGATTCACGAAAACTCTTTTTCACTTTATTCTAGCAAGTGGAAAACCCCTTGCATGAGACAAACAGAAACCATAATGGGTAATTCAAACCAAAGATATGTAATACAGGAAACTGGTTACAAAGATATTGGAAAGCTGAAAAGGTTAACAAGGGAAGATAAAGATAACAAGAGATGAGTAACTGCAGGAAGCACTACCACCTAAAGGGCTGTGGGAACAAAACGGAAGAGGCGTGTTATCAGAGGCCAGGAGCTTGGAGGATGGGCATTGCGGGGCCTGCAAGGGGGGGGGCGGGGGTCCACGGAGCTCAGGGCTCAAACCTCTAAGGAGGTGGCACCAAATGGCTAAGACCTGGACCTCTAAGGAGAGGAGCACAGCACCTCAAGTTTCAATCTCTACAGAGGAAGCACAGAAGGGAGGATGCTCAAACAGCCTAGTGGGTGAGGAAATGCAAGCAGCACTCATTTGCCTATGATGCACCCTCCAGAAGCTGGCACCTCTGAGAGGGAGCAGTGCGGTTGGTGCTGGGAGTGCCAAAAGAAGCTGGGAACGGAGTAAGAGTTGTCGCTGGCAGCTGCAGGGGTAAAGAAAGTAGAAACAAGAGAAGTCGCTTCTCTCACCTTCCAAATTCCTACGTGCTCCCCATGGTAAAACCCAACAAGAGGCAAGCTGGCAAGGGAGTCGGAGAAATGCAGTTTGCGGAGTCCCTCATCACAGTTTAAAAGGGTGGAACGGGAGCTGAGGAAGAGCAGGTAGAGAAACAGCAGCCCACTGAAAGGCTTTTAGCAAACTAACAGCACAATCTGATCTGCACTTTTCAAAGTTCACCTCCACATAACGTATACTCCTATAGGATAGGAACCGATCTGTAGACCAGAGAAATTATGAGGCTTTTATAGTACTCCAAGTGGGACTACAGTGGCAATAATAACTTAGAGGTAAGGGGATAAATTCAAAACGTGTTAAGAGACAGACTGACGGGATAGTGTGCTCTTGACTGGCTACGGGGCTGAGGGGCAGAAGAAGTCGAGGAGGACTCCCAAGCTTCTGGCAGGAGGAATGAGTGCACTTTATTTGCTGAGCCGTGGAGCACAGGAGGAGGAAGCAGTCACTTTTCAGTTTCGTTGGGGAGAAGTGACAGACAGGATACGGACATGGATCTTTTCATTTTTACATTGGAAACCAAAAGGCCCAGATTTTCTCTATCCCTATCTCAAGCAGGTTGGAAGTAGGGTCTAAGTCAGACAACCAAATGCTCCCTTCCCAGAACTTTTAACTTGAGAGACAGTGAGGCACAGCAATAGATTAAAAATGATTCAGAGCGACAGCAGAGGCACCCTCACCAAGTGCCAGTGGTGGCTTCCTATTCCAAGTGTTCCTGTGCCTGACCTTGGCTCTGGTCCTTGCTGCCTGGCTTCCCTTGATCCCTATCCATTTTCTGAGACTGGTTCTCCTGAGAGCCAGCCTTCCAATATATTCCTTTGTTTACATTAGCCAAAGTTGATTTCTACTGCTTACAGTCGATGCAATGTTAATGGATATGCTGTTTGGTTGTTGCTTTTTTTTCCCATTTTGCCCACTATATACTGCTGAATTCAAGTAAGTTATATGTGCCCATGACAGAACCACACTGTAATGTCCCCCAAACTATCCTCAACACCAATGGTTATGTGATACCAGCTCTTTACACAATAACTTCATGCCAAGAGATATGCCATCTATTTCCTGTCCTTCAACAGAGATAAGTGTACAATGTTAAGCCCAGAGTCTACCTTCCCTTTGTATCTTTTCTCTCATAAGAATTCACTGCCCAACCTCTACTGTTTCTATACCAGCTACATTTCCTCTCATTTCTATTCCCAGTAGAACTGGTATACAGCCTCTGAAACCTAATTCTCAAGATTGTAGAGAAATACAGCTATATTAAAATCTCTTGCAAAGAAATTCACAATTTAGAGCCACTTCCCCAGATATAATCATAAACCTTTCTGACATAAGAGCAGTTGGTCAGACTCTGGCCCCGACCCACCAACGCCTGTCAGACTTTATTCCAGAAACGATGCAAGAACTGCTGACTTGCTGAACCCCAGCTTTCTTCCTTCCCCATGGGGGTTTAGGAACACTTTGCCTTTTTCTCTCACTAGCTCACTGCTCAGTAAACGATCTCTGGTAATCTCTTTTGCAAATTATATCCACATCCTCTTTTACCCATTTCCCCCCCATTTCTTTCAACTGTTAAACAAAAGAGAAATTTATGTTATGTATATTTTACCACAATTTTTAAAAATGAAAAACCATTTTCCTCCTTCTCACCTTGTTCACTTAGTTCCATTAATGAGCTTAAGAGAGCTCTACCAGAGGCTAGTGACACACCTGTATCAAGCAAAATTAAAAGTCATGAGTTTTTAATCCACCTAGACAAAATAATCAGTGTCACAAAGTCCCCCCAGTCTCCATCATGCTCTCAATCTAGCTCCTCCCCATCTTATAAAAATCAAATTCGTTTCCCCAACAGAGTTTTTATAAACTTCTTTATTTTCTGCAATATAGTTTGTTTGGTTACCTGTGTTGAAACAGTACATATTGTCACTTTTCACAGCAGACAAACACAGTAAATGATTTAGCTACCTTAGGAATTAAGCAAGCTTTACAGGCTAGGTTGGGAACCAAACCACCATTTAGACTACAATTCTATGGAAACACAACCTAAAGTCTACCAACATAAATTAAGCAATCTCAGAAAAAGACTTCAGATAACTTGAAACATCACTGCTTACACTGCTTCCACAAAAAGACCAATATTTGATGATAAAACA